GCAGAAAGGTGAGAAATTGTCGCTTTTTGACCATTTGTGCTCACGTGTCACTTTCAACGTACCTCTGGATAACATGACCCAGCTGTAATATGAGTGGTCGCATTGATTTGATTTTTGGTTTGCTTGTAGGCGGCTGGCATCTGCATTCAATGACAGCGAAAATTTGGCACTACTGTTAATAGTTTAGTCGTGAAGTGAAGAATCCCGGGCAAAAAGGCCCAAAACTTCGAGATAAGTTGATTTTAGCTTTGACCAGCCCTGGGCGAAGTGTTTATTGAAATGTGGAATTTTTTCTTGGTGCACTTCCATGTCCAGCTATACAACAAGATCAGGGTGTCGATGGTCAGTTGTTGAGCTTCGAACGGGCAGAAAGGTGAGAAATTGTCGCCTTTTTACCATTTGTGCCCAAGTGTCACTTTCAACATACCTCTCGATAACATGACCCAGCTGTAATATGAGTGGTCGCATTGATTTGATTTTTTGTTTGCTTGTAGGCGGCTGGCACCCGCAGTCAATGACGGCGAAAATTTGGCACTGCTGTGAATAGTTTAGTCGCAAAGTGAAGAATCACGGGCAAAAAGGCCCAAAACTTCGAGATAGGTTGATTTTAGCTTTGAGCAGCCCTGGGCGAAGTGTTTATTGAAATGTAGAATTTTTTCTTGGTGCACTTCCCTATGTCCAGATATGCAACAAGATCAGCGTGGCGATGGTCAGTTGTTGAGCTTCGAACGGACAGAAAGGTGAGAAATTGTTGCTTTTTGACCATTTGTGCCCACGTGTCACTTTCAACGTACCTCTCGATAACATTACCCAGCTGTAATATGAGTGGTCGCATTGATTTGATTTTTGGTTTGCTTGTAGGCCGCTGGCACCCGCATTCAGTTACTGCGAAAATTTGGCACTGCTGTGAATAGTTTAGTCGCAAAGTGAAGAATCCCGGGCAAAAAGGCCCAAAACTTCAAGATAGGTTGATTTTAGCTTTGAGGAGCCTTGGGCGAAGTTTTTATTGAAATGTGGAATTTTTTCTTGGTGCACTTCCCTATGTCCAGCTATACAACAAGATCAGGGTGGCGATGGTCAGTTGGTGAGCTTCGAACGGGCAGAAATGTGAGAAATTGTCGCCTTTTTACCATTTGTGCCCACGTGTCACTTTCAACGTACCTCTCGATAACATGACCCAGCTGTAATATGAGTGGTCGCATTGATTTGATTTTTGGTTTGCTTGTAGTTGGCTGGCACCCGCATTCAGTCACGCCGAAAATTTGGCACTGCTGGGAATAGTTTAGTCGCAAAGTGAAGAATCACGGACAAAAAGGCCCAAAACTTCGAGATAAGTTGATTTTTGCTTTGAGCAGCCCTGGGCGAAGTGTTTATGGAAATGTGGAATTTTTTCTTGGTGCACTTCCCTATGTCCAGCTTTACAACAAGATCAGCGTGGCGATGGTCAGTTGTTGAGCTTCGAACGGACAGAAAGGTGAGAAATTGTCGCTTTTTGACCATTTGTGCTCACGTGTCACTTTCAACGTACCTCTCGATAACATGACCCAGCTGTAATATGAATGGTCGCATTGATTTGATTTTTGGTTTGCTTGTAGGCCGCTGGCACCCCCGCATTCAGTGAAGGCGAAAATTTGGCACTGCTGTGAATGGTTTAGTCGCAGAGTGAAGAATCACGGTCAAAAAGGCCCAAAACTTCGAGATAGGTTGATTTTAGCTTTGAGCAGCCCTGGGCGAAGTGTTTATTGAAATGTGGAATTTTTTCTTGGTGCACTTCCCTATGTCCAGCTATACAACAAGATCAGGGTGGCGATAGTCAGTTGTTGAGCTTCGAACGGGCAGAAATGTGAGAAATTGACGCTTTTTGAACATTTGTGCCCATGTGTCACTTTCAACGTACCTCTCGAAAACATGACCCAGCTGTAATATGAGTGGTCGCATTGATTTGATTTTTGGTTTGCTTGTAGGCCGCTGGCACCCGCATTCAATGACAGCGAAGATTTGGCACTGCTGTGAATAGTTTAGTCGTGAAATGAAGAATCACGGGCAAAAGGCCCAAAACTTCGAGATAAGTTGATTTTAGATTTGAGCAGCCCTGGGCGAAGTGTTTATTGAAATGTTGCATTTTTTCTTGGTGCACTTCCCTATGTCCAGCTATACCACAAGATCAGGGTGGCGATGGTCAGTTGTTGAGCTTGGAACGGGCAGAAAGGTGAGCAATTGTTGCTTTGTGACCGTTTGTGCCCACGTGTCACTTTCAACGTACCTCTCTATTACATGACCCAGCTGTAATATGCGTGGTCGCATTGATTTTGTTTTTGGTTTGCTTGTAGGCCGCTGGCACCCGCATTCAGTGACGGCAAAAATTTGGCACTGCTGTGAATAGTTTAGTCGCAAAGTGAAGAATCACGGGCAAAAAGGCCCAAAACTTCGAGATGGGTTGATTTTAGCTTTGAGCAGCCCTGGGCGAAGTGTTTATTGAAATGTGGAATTGTTTTCTTGGTGCACTTCCCTATGTCCAGCTATGCAACAAGATCAGCGTGGCGATGGTCAGTTGTTGAGCTTCGAACGGACAGAAAGGTGAGAAATTGTCGCTTTTTGACCATTTGTGCCCATGTGTCACTTTCAACGTACCTCTCGATAACATGACCCAGCTGTAACATGAGTGGTCGCATTGATTTGATTTTTGGTTTGCTTGTAGGCCGCTGGCACCCGCATTCAGTGACGGCGAAAATTTGGCACTGCTGTGAATAGTTTAGTCGCAAAGTAAAGAATCCCGGGCAAAAAGGCCCAAAACTTCGAGATAGGTTGATTTTAGCTTTGAGGAGCCTTGGGCCAAGTTTTTATTGTAATGTGGAATTTTTTCTTGGTGCACTTCCCAATGTCCAGCTATACAACAAGATCAGGGTGGCGATGGTCAGTTGTTGAGCTTGGAACGAGCAGAAAGGTGAGAAATTGTCGCTTTATGACCATTTGTGGCCACGTGTCACTTTCAACGCACCTCTCTATAACATGACCCAGCTGTAATATGAGTGGTCGCATTGATTTGATTTTTGGTTTCCTTGTAGGCCGCTGACACCCGCATTCAGTGACTCCGAAAATTTGGCACTGCTGTGAATAGTTTAGTCGCAAAGTGAAGAATCACGGACAAAAAGGCCCAAAACTTCGAGATAAGTTGATTTTTGCTTTGAGCAGCCCTGGGCGAAGTGTTTATGGAAATGTGGAATTTTTTCTTGGTGCACTTCCCTATGTCCAGCTATACAACAAGATTAGCGTGGCGATGGTCAGTTGTTGAGCTTCGAACGGACAGAAAGGTGAGAAATTGTCGCTTTTTGACCATTTGTGCTCACGTGTCACTTTCAACGTACCTCTCGATAACATGACCCAGCTGTAATATGAGTGGTCGCATTGATTAGATTTTTGGTTTGCTTGTAGGCCGCTGGTACCCGCATTCAGCGACGCTTAAAATTTGGCACTGCTGTGAATAGTGTAGTCGCAAAGTGAAGAATCACGGGCAAAAAGGTCCAAAACTTCGAGATGGGTTGATTCTAGCTTTGAGCAGCCCTGGGCGAAGTGTTTATTGAAATGTGGAATTTTTAATTGGTGCACTTCCCTATGTCCAGCTATACAACAAGATCAGGGTGGAGATGGTCAGTTACATGTCCAGCTACACAACGAAATGAGGATGGTCATTGTCATTTTCTGAGCTGCGAACGGGCACAAAGGGGAGAAAATGTCAGATTTTGTCCTTTTGTGCTGACCTTTCAATTTAAACGTACCTCTCTATAACATGACCCAGCTGTAATTTCAATGATTGCATTGGTTTTTTAGATTGCTTGTAGGGCGCTGGCACCCACATTCATTGACCCAGAAAATTTGGCACTGCTGTGAATAGTTTAGTCGCAAAGTGAAGGTCCACGGGTAAAAAGCCCCAAACTTGGAGATAGGTTCTTTTTCAGCTTTCAGCAGCCCTGGGTGAGTTCTTTAGAAAAATGTGGCTCTATTTCTTGGTGCTCTTGTCTATGTCCAGCTACACAACGAGATGAGGATGGTCATAGTCATTTTCTGAGCTGCGAGCGGGGAGAAAGGTGAGAAAATGTCAGATTTTGACCATTTGTGCTGACCTTTCAATTTCAACGTACCTCTCTATAACAAGACCCAGCTGTAATGTCAGTGGTCCCATTGGTTTCATTTTTGGTTTGCTTGTAGGGCGCTGGCACTCGCATTCAGTGACCCCGAACATTTGGCACTGCTGTGAATAGTTTAGTCGCAAAGTGAAGATTCATGGGTAAAAAGCCCCAAACTTGGAGATAGGTTCTTTTTCCGCTTTCAGCAGCCCTGGGTGAGTTCTTCAGAAAAATGTGGCTCTATTTCTTGGTGCTCTTGTCTATGTCCAGCTACACAACGAGATGAGGATGGTCATTGTCATTTTCTGAGCTGGGAACGGGCAGAAAGGTGAGAAAATGTCGGATTTTGACCATTTGTGCTGACCTTTCAAATTCAACGTACCTCTCTATAACATGACCCACCTGTAATGTCAGTGGTCGCATTGGTTTCATTTTTGGTTTGCTTTTAGGGCGCAGGCACCCGCATTCAGTGACCCAGAAAATTTGGCACTGCTGTGAATAGTTTAGTCGCAAAGTGAAGATTCACGAGTAAAAAGCCCCAAACTTCTAGATAGGTTCTTTTTCAGCTTTCAGCAGCCCTGGGAGAGTCCTTTAAATAAATGTGACTCTTTTACATGGTGCTCTTGTTTATGTCCAGCTACACAACGAGATGAGGATGGTCATTGTCATTTTCTGAGCTGCGAACTGGCAGAAAGGTGAGAAAATGTCGGATTTTGACCATTTGTGGTGACCTTTTAAAGGGGCACTCCGGCTTCATTTTCGACGCCGAGTTTTCGATGTCAAGACGAAGGTAGGTGAAAGAGAAGACCCCTCGAACAAGAACGAGTCTCCAGAAGCGATCGAGTCGAGCTGGAAGACGACTTTTGAATTTCGCCGAGCGAGCGCTGATGACGTAATGAGGGATTAGCTTGCCAGTGGAAATGCATCTGCGCACATACATTTCACATACTTTTTGGCCAATTTTCAATCGAAGAGGAGGTTGTTTTCTATGTTCTCTCAACGTCGTGAGCGATCCCGTCTTCTATACCCTTCCAGGTACCCTGAAGGTCCTCCAGAGGAGAATTTATCTCCAGCGAAGCGTTGTTGATCCGCTAAATTCGTCTCGAGACATATTCACCCAGTGCAGTGCTGATAAATGTAGAATGTTGAATCTGTGATAATTGTTGACGATGGAGAGAGAGGCTGATAGCCGCTGTCGCAGGGAGAGTGAAGCTGCTGGAAGTAACAACGGGGAGCCCATTTGTATCACCTGAACAACCAGACTTCAAAGCAGCTTGACCAAATCGGAGGGTGCCTCGTTGCTTATCGTCAATATTACACCGACATGAATTACTACAAGTACACTGGTGAGTTTTTATCTTGTTTTGTTCGTATGCTAGTACCCTGGCCTGGAGTTCTCGTTAGCAAATTCCTATTCCCTGGCGTTTTCTAAACATTCCGTGTAGTACTGAATACGTGATCAAGTATTCCGATTTGGGTAGATGTGGAATTTGGACATGTATTTTATAAAATAATTATATTTCCCAATAGAGCGTTTGTAGTGAAATGGTTGCCCAAATACAACGAAATTGATTCTGCAGTTCTACAACTTGTACTGAAATCCAGTCAAAGTAAAAATGATTCTTCATGACAGTTGGGGTCAATGAAATCTGATCCAGGCATAACGAATAGTGACGCCTGCCACCCAGAGAACGAATGCCCATTTGGTGGGGGATACCAAAGTACTCGAAAGTGGTGCGTGTTTCAATGTGGCATGGAAGTTTTATAATAATATGATCTCTGGTCAATGCAGCATACGATAGCCATCATGAATTGCAGGCCTCGAACGCAACTCAGACCAGAATTGGCAGTTCCCTAAGTTTATAATTCCATGGCCCCAGCTGTGGTTATAGAAGTTTGTTTGCGCATTATTCTTATAGTCGATAGGTTTATACTGATGGCCACAAACAACGGCAGTTCAAACTTCACTGACGTGTTCATGAGCTTAGAGATTTCCGTCCACTATTTTTGTTGTGCATACAGGTCTGTCCAATATGCATTGACGGTATTGGGTATGGTATCTGCTCTGAGAAGGGAATCGCTGGAGCCACAGTCCAATTATACAGGCTTTCAAGAAACAGAGGAGCCATCTTTCCCAGCTGATACCTGATGTGTACCGACGGAATTCTCACGAGATACCTTACGGACAACGTGTGGTGTGTACTTCATAGTACTCCTTCGACTACTATCTAGAATCAAGTCGACTGAAACAAGTTCAAACAACTCTGGCTTCAAACGAGCCGTCGATTAGACAAACAAAACATTCTCTCATATACTGGAGCACTCTGACAACTCACGACCTATTCCTAACGCCACCGCTTATAAAATATGTAGAGTGCTGATTGGAATGTGCTCACAATCTCAACAATTCAGTGCTATAATTATTTGAACAATGTGTTAGAAATTATTCCACTTTTCCTTCCATAAATGTTGTATCCACAGTGCTCCAAAGTTTCTTTGCTCTCTAGCCGCCTGCGAGTCCAACAGTGAAATTGTTAGTTCATATTTATAATGTGGGTATGTAGGAGGGAGTTGAACATATTTTTATAAGGGACCTGCAACTGTAATACCACAGTACTGTAGCCGGCAAATATGTAGAAAACAGAAATGCATGTTCCCATCATTGTACATGGACGGGCGCAGCAGGCCGAAGCTATCAGCCAGAACAGGATTTACAATCACTTAGAGATACTTCAGCTATTCCAGTATTCTCCGTGAGCTGTCCCATTCCACAATGGTTCATGCCACCATTATTTCTGGTAGTATCCATGTGCATAGTTCCAAGACCATCTCGGATTCTTCAGCAATTTGTGCCACGGCAAAAGACAATGCTTGACTCGGTCACTGGGACAGTCAAACTTCCCATCACAAATGAACTTCAATTTCTCATCTGTTTCAAGTATATGTACTGCCATGACTCGACCATGCTTCATCCACAGCTGGGCGAAAATTGTGGCGTCGAATTCCATAGCGCACCTTCTTGCTGCCATGCAGGAGTATGTTGAGAGAAGTGAACATATTTTTACTAAAAAACAACAGCCACTGAAGAGGATAGCAATAGCCTTGGGTGAATTTCCTGCAGGTACACGTTGTTGGTAGGTCTACTGGTCGGTCTCCATGTCGTCAAGTTCAGAAATCACCTATACTACACATCTTGTAGAAGGGATCCTGATCGAATAATTTTCTGTCATAAAATTCACTAAACTTGAGGGCGAGACAAATAGCCAGTACTCCCCGATTCCGTCAAGGTGCTTTGAAGTCTGGATGCACATGTGATGCTAACAAGCTCCCCGTCGTGACTTCCAGCAGCTTCACTTTCCCTGCGACAGCGGCTATCAACCTCTCTCTCCATCGTCGACAATTATCACAGATTCAACATTCTACATTTATCAGCACTGCACTGGGTGAATATGTCTCGAGACGAATTTAGCGGATCAACAACGCTTCGCTGGAGATAAATTCTCCTCTGGAGGACCTTCAGGGTACCTGGAAGGGTATAGAAGACGGGATCGCTCACGACGTTGAGAGAACATAGAAAACAACCTCCTCTTCGATTGAAAATTGGCCAAAAAGTATGTGAAATGTATGTGCGCAGATGCATTTCCACTGGCAAGCTAATCCCTCATTACGTCATCAGCGCTCGCTCGGCGAAATTCAAAAGTCGTCTTCCTGCTCGACTCGATCGCTTCTGGAGACTCGTTCTTGTTCGAGGGGTCTTCTCTTTCACCTACCTTCGTCTTGGCATCGAAAACTCGCCGTCGAAAATGAAGCCGGAGTGCCCCTTTAATTTCAACGTACCTCTCTATAACATGAACCAGCTGTATTGTCAGTGGTCGCCTTTATTTGATTTTTGGTTTGCTTTTAGGGCGCTGGCACCCGCAATCATTGACCCAGAATATTTGGCACTGCTGTGAATAGTTTAGTCGCAAAGTGAAGATTCAAAGGTAAAAAGCCCCAAACTTCTAGATAGGTTCTTTTTCAGCTTTCAGCAGCCCTGGGCGAGTTCTTTAGAGAAATGTGGCTCTTTTTCATAGTGCTATTTTCTATGTCCAGCTACACAACGAGATGAGGATGGTCATTGTCATTTTCTGAGCTGCGAACGGGAAGAAAGGTGAGAAAATGTCGGATTTTGACCATTTGTGCTGACCTTTCAATTTCAACGTACCTCTCTATAACATGACCCAGCTGTATTTTCTGTGGTCCCATTGGTTTCATTATTGGTTTGCTTTTAGGGCGCTGGCACCCGCATTCAGTGACCCAGAAAATCTGGCACTGCTGTGAATAGTTTAGTCGCAAAGTGAAGATTCAAGGGTAAAAAGCCCCAAACTTCTAGATAGGTTATTTTCAGCTTTCAGCAGCCCTGGGCGAGTTCTTTAGAGAAATGTGGCTCTTTTTCGAGGTGCTATTTTCTATGTCCAGCTACACAACGAGATGAGGATGGTCATTGTCATTTTCTGAGCTGCGAACGGGCAGAAAGGTGAGAAAATGTCGGATTTTGACCATTTGTGTTGACCTTTCAATTTCAACGTACCTCTCTAGAACATGACCTAGCTGTAATTTCAGTGTTCGCATTGGTTTCATTTTTGGTTTGCTTGAAGGGCGCTGGCACCCGCATTCATTAAACGAGAAAATTTGGCACTGCTGTGAATAGTTTAGTCGCAAAGTGAAGATTCACGGGTAAAAAGCCTCAAACTTCTAGATAGGTTCTTTTTCAGCTTTCAGCAGCCCTGGGTGAGTTCTTTAGAGAAATGTGGCTCTTTTTCATGGTGCTATTTTCTATGTCCAGCTACACAACGAGATGAGGATGGTCATTGTCATTTTCTGAGCTGCGAACGGGCAGAAAGGTGAGAAAATGTCGGATTTTGACCATTTGCGCTGCCCTTTCAATTTCAACGTACCTCTCTATAGCATGACCCAGCTGTAATGTCAGTGGTCGCATTGGTTTCATTTTTAGTTTGCTTGTAGGGCACTGGCACCCGCATTCAGTAACCCAGAAAATTTTGGCACTGCTGTGAATAGTTTAGTCGCAAAGTGAAGATTCACGGGTAAAAAGCCCCAAACCTCTAAATAGGTTCTTTTTCAGCTTAAGCAGCCCTGGGTGAGTTCTTTAGAGAAATGTGGCTCTTTTTCATGGTGCTATTTTCTATGTCCACCTACACAACGAGATGAGGATGGTCATTGTCATTTTTTGAGCTGCGAACGGGCAGAAAGGTGAGAAAATGTCGGATTTTGACCATTTGTGCTGACCTTTCAATTTCAACGTACCTCTCTATAACATGACCCAGCTGTACTTTCAGTGGTCGCATTGGTTTCATTTTTGGTTTGCTTGTAGGGCGCTGGCACCCGCATTCATTGACCCAGAAAATTTGGCACTGCTGTGAATAGTTTAGTCGCAAAGTGAAGATTTACGGGTAAAAAGCCCCAAACTTCTAGATAGGTTCTTTTTCAGCTTTCAGCAGCCCTGGGAGAGTCCTTTAGAGAAATATGACTCTTTTACATGGTGCTCTTGTCTATGTCCAGCTACACAACGAGATGAGGATGGTCATTGTCATTTTCTGAGCTGCGAACGGGCAGAAAGGTGAGAAAATGTCGGATTTTGACCATTTGTGCTGACCTTTTAATTTCAACGTACCTCTCTATAACATGAACCAGCTGTAATGTCAGTGGTCGCATTGACTTGATTTTTGGTTTGCTTTTAGGGCGCTGGCACCCGCATTCATTGACCCAGAAAATTTGGCACTGCTGTGAATAGTTTAGTCGGAAAGTGAAGATTCACGGGTAAAAAGCCCCAAACTTGTAGATAGGTCCTTTTTCAGCTTTCAGCAGCCCTGGGTGAGTTCTTTAGAGATATGTGGCTCTTTTTCATGGTGGTATTTTCTATGTCCAGCTACACAACGAGATGAGGATGGTCATTGTCATTTTCTGAGCTGCGAACGGGCAGAAAGGTGAGAAAATGTCGGATTTTGACCATTTGTGCTGACCTTTCAATTTCAACGTACCTCTCTATAACATGACCCAGCTGTAATGTCAGCGGTCGCATTGGTTTGATTTTTGGTTTGCTTGTAGGGCGCTGGCACCCACAATCAGTGACCCTAAAAATTTGGCACTGCTGTGAATAGTTTAGTCGCAAAGTGAAGATTCACGGGTAAAAAGCCCCAAACTTCTAGATAGGTTCTTTTTCAGCTTTTAGCAGCCCTGGGGGAGTTCTTTAGAGAAATGTGGGTCTTTTTCTTGGTGCTCTTGTCTATGTCCAGCTACACAACGAGATGAGGATGGTCATTGTCATTTTTTGAGCTGCGAACGGGCAGAAAGGTGAGAAAATGTCGGATTTTGACCATTTGTGCTGACCTTTCAATTTCAACGTACCTCTCTATAACATGACCCAGCTGTAATTTCAGTGGTCGCATTGGTTTCATTTTTGGTTTGCTAGTAGGGCGCTGGCACCTGCCTTCAGTGACCTAGAAAATTTGGCACTGCTGTGAATAGTTTAGTCGCAAAGTGAAGATTCACGGGTAAAAAGCCCCAAACTTCTAGATAGGTTCTTTTTCAGCTTTCAGCAGCCCTGGGCGAGTTCTTTAGAGAAATGTGGGTCTTTTTCATGGTGTTATTTTCTATGTCCAGCTACACAACGAGATGAGGATGGTCATTGTCATTTTCTGAGCTGCGAACGGGCAGAAAGGTGAGAAAATGTCGGATTTTGAACATTTGTGCTGACCTTTTAATTTCAACGTATCTCTCTATAACATGAACCAGCTGTATTGTCAGTGGTTGCATTGATTTGAAATTTGGTTTGCTTTTAGGGCGCTGGCACCCGCATTCATTGACCCAGAAAATTTGGCACTGCTGTGAATAGTTTAGTCGCAAAGGGAAGATTCACGGGTAAAAAGCCCAACACTTCTAGATAGGTTCTTTTTCAGCTTTCAGCAGCCCTGGGTGAGTTCTTTAGAGAAATGTGGCTCTTTTTCATGGTGCTATTTTCTATGTCCAGCTAACCAACGAGATGAGGATGGTCATTGTCATTTTCTGAACTGCGAACGGGCAGAAAGGTGAGAAAATGTCGGATTTTGACCATTTGTGCTGACCTTTCAATTTCAACGTACCTCTCTATAACATGACCCAGCTGTAATGTCAGCGGTCGCATTGGTTTCATTTTTGGTTTGCTTGTAGGGCGCTGGCACCCACAATCACTGACCCTAAAAATTTGGCACTGCTGTGAATAGTTTAGTCGCAAAGTGAAGATTCACGGGTAACAAGCCCCAAACTTCTAGATAGGTTCTTTTTCAGCTTTCAGCAGCCCTGGTAGAGTCCTTTAGAGAAATATGACTCTTTTACATGGTGCTCTTGTCTATGTCCAGCTACACAACGAGATGAGGATGGTCATTGTCATTTTCTGAGCTGCGAACGGGCAGAAAGGTGAGAGAATGTCGGATTTTGACCATTTGTGCTGACCTTTTAATTTCAACGTAC